CTGATGCTTTTCATTGGCTCTCATTTCTGCACCATCAGTTGGAGCCGACTGAACCGATCCTCCTCAGATCAGACCAGACTAAAGATCAATCGGTAGGAGCAGGGTTAAGGGTCAGCGCTGATCCGTGTGAGCCTAGCCTCGGAGCATGGAGGTGTTGAAACACATAGCCCTCCTTTGACCTGATGCCCCCCTGTGTCCCCTCAGCCATCAACCAACTCCCACACTCTTCAACCTCGACCCACGTTCATGCTCCCAAACACACACACAAACACACACACACACACACACACACACACACACAACCATGCCTCATCAAAGGGACTTGGGCGGTGTCCTAATGCAGTGGGGTGGATGTGGGGAAGGGTTGTGCAGGGGATGATGAGGGTTTCTAAAGAGGACACGCACAAACCTCTCTTTCAGGACTCTTCCTTCCTCCCTTCATCCTCACCCTCGTATATCCTCCCTGTGGCCCCTTCGGTCATCCCTCCTCTCCTGTTTCTCCTGTTCAGCTGCTGTGTTTACTCTGCTAGAGAGAGAGAGAGAGAGAGAGAGAGAGAGAGAGGGCCCAGAGAAGGGACAATGCCCTCTTTCAGAGAGACTGTCGACCCCACGGCTGAGCAAGGAAGTCTGCATGGGGCCAGCCAACACCCTTTCCACAAACTTCACAGCCATCCGCCACTGAGCTTTACACACACACACACACATGCACACACACAAGCATATCACGCAGCCATGCACACAGACGATACCATACTCCTTCCTTCTCTGTATCGTTCTTTCTCTCAGTCGCCCTTTATCTTTGTCTCACATTTCCCACAAACCCCCTCTCAGTGACCGTGGCTGTTCGGAGGACATAGTTGAGATCCCATAAGTTCAGTCCAAGATCTACACACACTGTGAGTCACTTCCCAGCCAGTCTCTACTATTTCCCCACCAAGAAGTAGTCATGAGGGTTTGCTGGGGTAAAATCCATCAGTGGGGGACTGTACTGGCCGACTCCAGTGGGAACACATTAGTGCAGTATGGACTGCCTTTGGTGTAGGCGGTACTGTAGATATCTTGTGACCTGCTGAGTTGCTAGCAAAGTTCAAGAGAGTTTTAAGTGAATTTTGTCTGTCTGTCATGTCGGTTTCTTTGCAGGAAGTTCTTTGAGAGCACACACACACACACACACACACACACACACACAGAGGTCCCATGTGACGTTTTATGCAAGTCAAACCTCCTTCAGTACACCATGCGTTATTCATCTGTTGTGTTTGGCTATCTTGCCTTCATCATCTGAGGCTGTTTTCGGTTTTCTCAAATACAATTCATTGATCATTGATTAGTCATGTGACTAATAAATCACCATAGAAAACATGAATACAGCAAATGACAATAATTACAGAACCTATAATATTACAATCACCTTTCCTTTTATTTCTTAGCAAGTGCAACCTTTCATCTTAGCCCATTAATGGATTTTGATGTAAGTAATAATAATAAATTATATAAAAAGTTTTCAATACATGCAACTAAGTCTGTATTCTTTCCACCAAATTATTCAAACCTCTTTAAAAAATGTATACTCAAATCCCCTTCATCACTTAACTTTTATGAATAACTAACTGGTTTCAAAGTCAATCTGTGTTTGGCCTTCACACATCCATCCATTAACTACATTTCCAGTTGTTCTCAAAACATTCCTGGCATTTAGGAAACAAACATAATCTTCAATGGCTTCAAGTCTAATTTCTCATTTAACCCTCATGGGCCTAAGTCATCCAATTAGGTAACTTTAGTAGATTTAGTGATGAACTAAATATGGAAATGGAAATGTTTTGTTCAGTATTATTTTATTATTTTTCATGCCAAATGAGTATAAGTGTTAATAGAATAAGTGTTAATTGATGTATGGCTGCAATTATGTATATATATATAGTACTGTATAATTCTACACACCATATGTGTTTTTCAATATCTGTGCACATATTCATCACACATATCTGTATAAATGAAAGGTGCGTATTATTTATATAGTTCTTATTTTCTATTTTCTTTTTGTATGTGTATTTTTAAAAAATCTTCTTTTCCAACAAATCTTTTCAACTTTAATAGATAGAAACAAGTTCACTGCATTGGAAACAACTGAAATATTTACACTCATGATACATGACACACACATACTTTCTCGGGATTAAAAGGAGAAAGTATTTAACACTAAAATGACTTGCTAAGATGGATCCACTATTGTATCATACTTACAATTACATTTACTCATTTGGCAGACGCTTTTATCCAAAGCGACTTACATTCTAATGTAAACTCCCAGTTCCCCTCTTACAGCATGCAACAAGCTGAATGATACCAACAATGTGCTTTGTTGTATAGGGATATATATATATGTCAACCAAGGTGTGGTTTGAGCAGTAGTGGGATAGCTATAAAAGATGAGCTATACAGTCCATTATGGATAGTAATGGTTTGCATGTGGAACAGTGGGAAATGTAGGGTCACATGATTTGAGGTGCCAAATTGATTTATATTCCAAAGTTATACATAAATCCAAAAGTAACATATCTGTTTCTCATCATGTTTTATAGCATGGATTATAGCACTGATGGCAGGCAAGTTTCCTGTTTGTCCCCACAGTGGATGAGAGTAGGATTTGTAGAAAAGGTTAAGCTGATTCCTGGTCTGTGCCTCAGGGTAAGGGCTTTTATTCAGTTAAAAGTGGATAACAGGGGATTTTCTGCTATTTTAGCCAAACAATAAAGCCCAAACTCTTGGAAACCTGTGTGGTAGGGGTTACAGTAAGTTAGTCAGACCTATCAAGTCCAGAGGAAAGCAAGAGAGAGAGAGAGAGAGAAAAAAATGTATTAACCGCAGCTCATTCTAAATGAGGATCATATCCGCTGTGACAGATCAGAACATGTTTATTTTCACAGCTAATGACAGCATTTGCCCACATAAGAAACTCTCCATGGTCAAAATGATAATTAGAGCAACTCCTCCTTTATCATTTCACAATTGATTGGTTCGGTTTAACTGATGGAAATAATCAATTTTAGTATGTGTCATGGTATAATCAACAATAATTATGTGGTTAAATCTCTTTGTTTAGCAGTCTGCACGGGTGTAACTGGATACATTTAACAAAATCTAGGATGATGGAGATATTATTAGACAGTAAAAAAGGAACACAAACACCCCCAAGAGCCAGTGTAAACACATGAGGGCTGTCATGTAGCTGTTAAATGTCAAATTAAAGGATAGGTTCACATTTTTCCAAGTCTGTCTTAACTCGCATGTCCGTGTGTACCTTGAAAGAGTGACTGGTTGCTCTGGCATGAATAGATCCCTTCTTAGCACAATTCCAATGTAATTTTAAAACCTGACGTGGTGATGTATTGTATTTTGTTGGTGACTGACATCATCACATAATTCTGGTAAACACCTTTCTCCTTGCATTAAGCATGCCCCTGCTCTTTGTATGTTAAATTATCAATAACATTTTGGTGTAAAGTCAGTCTAAACTACCCATCAAGATTGGCCGGTGGGTCACGTGCTTGTCAGGGTGGTTAATAATCAGATAAAGACCAAAGCTTTTTTGTCCTAAGACGTTTCTTTATGTGCATGTGAGACAGCACAGAAATATCTCACTGATAATGCCATAATGCTGCTCTGTGTGCATGTTCATACAGTATACAGTATAGCTGGTTGAGTCTATAAACACACTGGCCGTGTATATTTGTGTGTGTGTGTGTGTGTGTGTGTGTAAGCTGGTGGCCATCTCCTCGTTGGGCTGGTGAACCTGGTGACCTCTCTGCTCTGTGCCTCCCAGACACAAGGATTTCTCATGTGGCCCCTGGCCAGTCACTCTCAAAGCCCACCATTCACCACCAACCGAGGCTTCTATGAGTGTTTGTCGGCATGTGTGTGAGGGAGAGGGGGAATTTGTTGAAATTATAGTTTGATTAATTACTTGTATTGTATTGTGCACACTGAACATGCACACTGGGAGCTGCTCTACATGAACTCCAGCAGGAATATAGGACACCCTGCAAATGTGTGTGTGTGTGTGTGTGTGTGTGTGTGTGTGTGTGTGTATGTGCAGATGGAAAATAATTTGAAGAGATGTGGATCTGGCTTCTGTAAATATCTACTAACTGTCTAAAACTAAAAAGTATTTCTTCAGCTGGTTTTGTTGATATTTGCTATTGTTAACCATTTATGATTGTTTCTTATGCCTCAAATATGACTAGCGGGGTTGCTTTGACTGACGGGGTTCATTCAGGTGTTTGGTTGTGTAGGTATTTGCTAAATTCTTTGCATGGTACAACACGGTTGATGCAGGGTCAGTCTGGTGCCAGAGGAAGACTAGAGCTGGAACTCAACATGACAGCTAGATGAAGCGCCCTGCCCACAACCCTCAGGCTGGGTCCAGAGGTCAGTGTGTTTAGAGGAGGGAGGAGCTGGACGGAGTGGGTGCAGCTGGAAGGCCTGGAGGGGCTGCTGGTAGGTCTCAAAGGTCCATGGGGTCTGAGGGTACACACTGTGGGGGTGGGGGTGGGATGGGGAGGGGGGTGATGTGACAGGGTGCAAGGGCCAGTGGCTGGCCGAGGGGTGGGGTAAAGCAGAGCTGGCGGTGAGGGTGACCATCTGGATTGGACTGTAGACATTCCTCAGGAAGAGTGTGTGAGTAAAGGTCAGTGTGGAAAGCGAGAGGGTCACTCAGATCTGTGTGTGTGTGTGTGTTTATTTTTCTTTGGCTTACTCAGATTTTCAGTTTACGATTGTGGTCAGTTTACCATTGTTGGAGAGTATCTGGAGAGTATCTCCTGCAGGTATTGTGGAACAACATTCACATGGGGATTATTGCAGGTGTGAGAATCTGTCTTCTGCAGTCTGTCACTTTTTCACATTGGAATTGGAATACAGCATTTCATTGTATGTGTCGTTATATGAAAACCAAGTGCACTTGGCTTAACTCTGCCCCTCTGTGACTGTTTGTGCAGGTGGGAGGTCGGAGGGTTGCGGTTATGCTGTCCCTGGACGAGCCCCTGGACCTGAAGCTCCCTCGGCGGGCCAATGGGCGAGACAGAGGGGCGCGCTCACCCCCCCTCTCCCCACTGCACCCCAAGCGAGCGCGCCAGCTCCACATGGCAGATGATGGCACTGCAGTCATAGAGCCCGCCTCGCCAGCATCTCCGCACACAGGTAGGTAACAACAAAACAAGAGTCTATGGCCATGATCTGTGAGACTGTAGGCACAGTGGTGGTTTGAGCTAAATGCTAACACCAGCATGTTACCATGCGCTCAGTGACAAAGCTAACATGCTGACCTTAAAAGGCATGGTGCTTACCATGTTCACCATCTTTAGCCTTCTACCATTTGCTAATTAGCACTAAACATAAAGTACATGTGTGGAAGATGGGAATGACATCAGTTTAGCAGGTACTTGGACAAATTGAAATTTTGACCTGATGATGGCGTTAGATGTGAAGGGTTCACCAAGGTGATTAGAAATAATCCTGATGGGACATGAATGTGTGTAGCAAATTTTCACGGGCAGACCGACTTGACGTTACCATGTATAGAGCCGTAAGCTAAAAACAAAAGCGTGTGTTTGAGAAAATGGAACAGAGTGAGACCAGTGTCCCTGTATCAGATCCAGTTGTGAGGTCACCTTAATATGTGTGTCTGTGTGTGTTTTCTCAGGTGTGCAGGTGGTCCCTCTTGATCGAACAGATACTCCCACCCCACCTGCAGTGGACCTGAGCATGTCTCCCTCCTCCCGCCACACCCCCACCTCTCCAGAAATGACCAATGGCAACTACATCCCCTCAGGGGTGAGTAGGACTGAGCTTAAACACACACACACCAGTACAAGTGTTCTGCTTTAGCTTTTACCAGCTTTTACTTTGACCACCAATACCTCTATTATTTCCCCTTGTTTTCTCATACTTTTAGTTTGTTAATCTCTGAGTTGATGAAAGAATAAACAGTGTCTTTCGGTGCAGTAGTGAGACTGACTCAGCGTGCTAGGGTCAGCAAATCAGGAAAAACATCAGGTTGAGTCACATTCTCCTATGCAAAGGGAGGGAGATCTATGTGTGTGTGTGTGTGTAAGAGAGAGAGGGGGGTAGCTCTTATCAAACACGTCTTGTGTCCCCAACAAGTGCTTCTGTCTGTGCGACTTGCACTCAGTGGCCCCACTGGCATGACGTGTGTGTGCCTGTGTGTATGTGTGTGTTTGTATAATTGGATTTAAGACAAGGTACAGCCATGCAGACCTCATGCCGCCTAATTCAATTCCCTCCCAATTGAATTGAGACACGCTGGCTGGGACCATTCAGCTGCCCCGCATCCCACCGACCCCACCGTTACACACACTCTACACTTTACTTATTCCCTGAGGATTCAGATAGGATGCCTTCATATCCCAATGCCCCCCCCCCCCCCCCCCCCACACACACACATACACTCTAACACACACACACACACACACAGAAGAATTTCTTATAGAAGAACAGCTGCACACACTTACATGTTCTCTACCCTACAGCACCTCACAAAGCACCTCACATAGTTTTGCATGCAGAAGCAGAGCTCAGTGTAGGGAATTGGTCTCATTTTATGAAATTTGCCACATACACATTTCTGACATAGCTGAAGATGATGAGACAGGGACCGGATTGTGATCCATTTGCACCCTTATTCTGTTTCCCTGCACTTCTCTACTCTCACAAGACAGCTCAGACTTATATGTCCCTTATTCTAAATTCCACTTTTCATCAGGAGCCCTCTCTATTTTCTGCTTGAGCTAAGTTGCACTCTGTGTGTGTGTGTGTGTGTGTGTGTGTGTGTGTGTATATGTGTGTCTGTGTGTGTGATCCGGTGCATTAGCACTCTGAGTCCCACCTGAGGTTCAGTGAATCTTACAGCTCTCACGCAGAGCTCAGGGATGTAGGGAGGTTTTGTAGCACACAGCGGGAGACTAGGAGAGGAAAAGTGAAGTGGATTTTTGAAGGGAAAGATGAAGCTCAGCAGTTCTGTACTCCATTGATAAAAAGACTTTTGTCTCTATCAAGTATTTTCTCTGTGAGGCCATCAGTGCCCGTTTGTGTCATCCAGCTGATGGTCTATTCTCAATTATGCTATGCACACTGTGCTATCAGAATCAGAATCATAATGCTTTATTGTCAGTGAATGTAGTTCAACAAGATTTAAGTGCTATCACAGCATTGGAGCTCATATTGCTGGCTACACAGGCAGTTTTTACCTGTATACAGTCATGTTTGTGAGCAGTGGTTGTGGTGTTTTTATTGTACTTTTGAGGCCTTATAATGCACCCAACATTTTATTTTATCACATCTTTATAAACTATTTTTCTAAAGCCAGGCATAACATTTGTATAACATCAAATAGTATTCCATTACAGCACATCACAGCAAACTTGAACTAAAACAAAACTTGTGCATGCTTCTTTGGTATGTGTGCAATGGATTGATAACCCTGTTGCTCCTTTCTCTATTTGTTTATCAGAATTCTCACATCTCACAGGCCTTTCAGTTTTTTGTGCCAATCGGAGCTGGGGCGGGACTTCACCTGCCATCCTCCATGTTCATTGGCCAGACGAGCGACAAGAGAGCCTCTCCTGACCTCTCAGCGGATGAACAACTGGCCTGCCGCTGGAAGAAGGTAAGACCCAGAAAGTAACGGACACCCATTTTATGATTGTGTTGCAGCCAAACTGGGATCAGATCAAAAAAGCTTCATCATCACAAAAATAATTAATTTGAAATGCTGAATGTTTTCCCTCCTCCAGTGCCATCTGCTCTTTGATTCCCTGCAAGACCTAGTGGATCATGTCAACGACTTCCATGTCAAACCTGAAAAGGATTCTGGGTACTGTTGCCACTGGGAGGGCTGTGCTCGCAAAGGGAGGGGTTTCAATGCCAGGTGAGAAAATCCTTCACTTGGGAAAATCATTTACATATAAGGGGAGAATTCCAGAGAACTTATTTTTGTGTGGCTGCAGGTACAAGATGCTCATCCACATCCGCACTCACACTAACGAGAAGCCCCATCGCTGTCCCACCTGCAACAAGAGTTTCTCACGCCTGGAGAACCTCAAGATACACAACCGGTCACACACAGGTCAGTTGTGCACCCGCAAGTTACAAAACACAAATGACAAATATGTGTTCACTAAATGAATGAATTCTCAACATCTGGATCATTTCTCCTCACTGCAGGTGAAAAGCCTTACATTTGTCCTTATGAGGGTTGCAACAAGCGCTACTCCAACTCCAGCGACCGCTTCAAACACACTCGCACACACTATGTGGATAAGCCCTACTACTGCAAGATGGTGGGCTGCCTGAAGCGCTACACCGACCCCAGCTCTCTCCGCAAGCACATCAAGGCCCACGGCCACTTTGTGGCTCAGGAGCAGGGCTCTCCAGGTGGGGTGGGCTCCCTGCTGAGGGGGAGTCAAAGTGGAGGGCTTGCTAGCGAAGTGGGAAAGGATTCAGAGCTTTCCTATGTGAGCGCAGCCCACATTATCATCCCGAGCGCAGCGGCTGCTCTCCTGGGAGGCCATGCTCTGCAGGGCCTTGGTGGTGCCCTGCCCCTGTCCCCCCTCAGTCCTCGGCCCCTGGACCTCAGCACACTGGGTTGCCCCAACTCACCTCCAGGCAGCCTGGGAGGCACACCCATCCTGTCCTTCAACGGCTCGCCGCTGGGCCTTGCCAAGTCCCCTCTGCTCTCCCCAGCGTTCCCCTCCTCCGCCTTGGGCCTGCCAATGGTGCCCATGCTGGGGGCCTCGTCTGATCGCAGGGCCCAAAGCCAGCAAGCCAAGAAAGGCCGGGAAGAGGAGGCCAAGAACGAGGTGACTGGGGGGGTCCTGAACCTCACCACAGGGTCTCATGATCCCCTGTCCTGGGTGGTCATCCCTCCAGGCACCGTAGTGCTCAAGCCAGCTGTGGTCAACTGATACACACACACACACACACACACACACACATATATATACACACACTCACACATACACATTCCAGAAGAGCTCAGGGGGTCGGTATGGGAGGGTGAACGCCATAGTGAGGGTACAGGCGGTCAAAGGTGATAGGGATTTGCTCGCACAATCAAATCCAGGCAATGCATTTCAGAGAGACAAGGAAAAAAAAACTATAGAGAAACTCATCAAACCCTCAATCAGCAAAACAATAGATAACACTACACCTCACAAGAATTAAATACAACTCAAGCCTCTTGTATTAATGGGAAACTAAACTTGGGGCCCCAGAACTCTGTTCAGGACCATGAACGGCTCTGTATTTCTATCACAAGGCCTGGCAATGGGCTCCTCTTTGCTCTTTCACTTTATACTTTATTCATTCCTGTATGCTGGTTCTGTGGACAGGGACCATGAACGTGACAGTCAGCTCTGTGTTCTTACAAAAGTCTTGATTCTCTGATAAGTATTTATATGACTACACTTCATCTACATTGTGCCTCCAGCTTAACAGTGAGATAGATACACGATGAAACTGAACGACACGCTGACAGTTAGGCAAACACGGAATAGGAAGATTCTACACAGTTGATTTTAAAGTATGACCTATTTTTCACAGGCTGCTGTGATTAATATGATTCAGACAGGCTTGCCATACCAAAGCAAGTGAACTCAAACTGTCTTGGATTTGTCCAGGAAAAAGCTTCAGCTCTGAGACAGTTCAATTAAAACACAGCACTTAATCGTGTCAGCTGGTTATAGTATTGAAACCTCAAAACTGCTGCTAACCTCTCAGCTCCCCCAGTGTAACATTAACTGGGTGAGAGCACTTTTGACAATCTGTCCCCAGTTTGGGGAGGGTGACCAACAAGAATGTGTGCGTGCAGACTAGGGGCTTTTAGGGCACAGAGCGAACTGCAGACTTGACACAGACAAATGGTGTTACATCACCTGGCAATGACCAATCATCACTTCCTCTTTTACACAAGTGAAATTAAAGGCACTGGTGCGCCTGGCTCCCCCCTCTGGTAAGACACGATACACAACATCCCACTTATTATTTACAGAACTCGCACTGTTTTACTTACTGGATTGTCCAGCTGCTTTCTCGTAATTGAATCAACACAGCCAGTTTGTGTATGAAAGGCCCACTGTGGTGATAAACACTGGTGTCTTGTATTTTAAAAAGTGACCCGACCCAAAACCAGCTGTGAAAAACAGGCGGTCATCCAGTCGAAGCCCAACTTAGCCTCATCGGTTGAAGATTTGTCCCCATGCTGTGCCAAAAATACATGGAAAGGGGAAAGAGGGATCCACGTATTGTGCCACAGAGGGGGGTGTGATGCACTCAATGCCACATACAGCTGGAGCGACTAGGAAGCCACACTATTGCAAACTGCCTCATTTTACTCTGTCCAAAGGGGCAAAAAAAAGACTTATTTGACTTCTGGGAAAACTTTTCTCATGGTTCGATTAAGCAGTCAACATGCACTTACCACACACTATATTCCTTAGATGTTCTATATAATGTTACTGCCAATTCACAGTTCTTTAAAAACTAGTTTGCTCTTATTCAATTTTTCTGCAAGGGTTGATTTTTCTTTGGGGTCCCTCCTGGCTTCTGTTGCTCAGTGCTAATGTATGTTTGATGTCGGCTGCCGTCTCCACAGAGGAGAGGTATGGGGCGTAGGAGAGGATCATCACAACACAAGGAACATTCCCTCAAGAGACTGTCACACACTACCTTCCTCTCTCTTTTCCCTCCTCCATCTCTCCTCTCCTCATATGCTTATGTTGGTGGTCTTACTTTCCCATCGCCCAAGGACAAACAGTTATTGCTGTTTTTCATTGTTGTCTTTTTTTCTTGCTGTTGTTCAGACGAGACATTTTTTCTGATGTTGAAGTTGCTTCTTGTGTTCTGCGACGGCTGCTCTGCGCTCAGCTTTCTGCTGTCGAGGAGTCTTTTTAGGGGTTGAGGAGAAGATGAGAGTGAGAAGTTTGGGTGGACCTCTGGGGCAGTGGTTAAATCTGAAGGGTCACAAGATGATTACATTGATATAAGAAAGAGGAAAAGTTTTAGCGGCGTGGCTCAATGGATGGCATGGATGGTCAGTCCACCCACATGGTTCAGATTGAAATATCTCAACAACTATTGGATGGATTGCCATTAAAATTTTGTACAGACATTGATGGTGCCCTGAGGATGAATCCTAACTACTTTGGTGATCCCCTGTCTTTTCATAGCACCACCATGAGGTTGACATTTGTGGTTTTAAGTGAAATCGCTCCATAACTACTGGATGAATGAAGGTCGTGGGTTCAAACCCCGGTTGCCCCGGCCTTTCTGTGTGGAGTTTGCATGTTCTCCCCGTGTCTGCGTGGGTTCTCTCCGGGTGCTCCGGTTTCCTCCCACCGACCAAAGACATGCGGACTAGGTTGATTGGTGACCCTAAATTGTCCTTAGCTGTGAGTGTGAGCATGAGTGGTTATTTGTCTATGTGTGGCCCTGCGATGGACTGGCGACCTGTCCAGGGTGTACCCCGCCTTGCACCCAATGTCAGCTGGGACTGGCCCGAGCCCCCCCGCGACCCTGTACGCAGGATATGCGGTTGACGATGGATGGATTGTTGTTCCACTTGGGATTAATTGTACTAACTTTAGTGATCCCTTAACTTTCGCGTGCCATTGGCCAAATACCTACAAAACAAATGACATTCCCATTAGCCTCCATTGTACATTGTGCTAATTCGCAAATGTTATCATGGTAATATACTAAACTAAGATGTTGAACCAGGTTAAAATTACCTGCCAAACATCAGCATGTTATATAGTCACTGTGAGCATGTTAGCATGTTGATGTTAGGATTTAGCTTAAAATGCCGCTGCGCCCAAGTACAGCCTCACAAAGCTGCTAGCATGGCAAGACTCTTAATAACTCTTGTTTATTGTGAAATACTGAATATGGTTTCCTGCTCAGGGCTGGTGACCCTTACAATGAAACAATGTGTCATAACACTTTGTCAAAACTAAAGTTATAAACTGTGATTAGGGGTCATAATTACAGATGGTATTGCTTTATGTTAAGGGTTCACAAGCCTAAAAGGTTAGAGACCACTGCTCTGGGGGGGGGGGGGGGGGGGGGGGGGCAATCACATTGGTGTACTGAGAGGGCTTAAAATACATAACTGTTAATTATCTTTGGGCTAAATTTGATTTACAAACTCTGCTTCTTTTGTTCTGACTTTTAATTTCCCCGGTCAGATAAAGGGAAAAGGTAGAGAAATAACGTCCGACTGTGAAATGGCGGGCAGCGCTGGGAAAGTGTGAGAGCAAAGAGAGAAAGGATTGGCTGAATGATAAAATGAATGGACAAGGGATAGGGAGAGATGAAGGGAGAGGCTGTGTGCCAGCTGAGGAAAAGAGGCAGAGGATAGCTGTGCTGTGCAGCCGCCTTCCATCTGGCCACCTACCCAGTGAACGGCCCTCTCAGCTCTGAAGTCACTGGCTGTGCTGTGCCCAATGTGGCAGCCACTCACAGGCATACCAGCCTGCAGAAAACTAGGCCACTGAACTCTGTCTGCCCTCTGGGATTTTTCTTTTTTTATTGAAAAACCCAAAAGGCTCAACGCCCCCACCTCCCGGCCACAAAGCTTTTTACCCAAGATGAGGAAAACAGACTAACAAGCCACATTTGCAGTAAACAAATACAAATATAACCCTCCCTGTGTGAGGACGGCCTGTGTGTGTCGGGCTGCTGACAGGCCTGCGAGGATTCACAGCAGAGATGAACTGCATACCTGTGTTTCTGCCTCAGTAATTCTTCGTTGTTATCTCAGACAACCCCCTCCTCCCATCACCACACACACACCAGCGGCCTGTCTCTGGGGTTCGGGCTGGGTATTGAAGAGAATCTCTTGCTGTGAGTGGACAATCCTGGTGCGTGATGTCATCAGAAACAGGTGTCAAGTAGGCTCGACATGGTTTCCATGGCAACAGCAAAACCCACAGATGCGGCGGGCTCTCCTCTTCCTCCCTGTCTGTCTGTCTCTCCTCTGCAGGTCGAAGCTAGGGACAGAGACTCAGCACGGCGGCAGAAAGCTGAACAATATGACATGGATCCTCCGAGGGTCCACAACTTTTCAATATTAAATAAGCTGTATGATCCATTAACCCTTTGAGCTCAGTCTGTAATAAACTGCACTTTTGTTCCCCTCATAGCATGTGTAGATACACATCCTTTCTCAGTGTAGAGCGTTATTCATCAGTTGTTTTGTGAACCAAGAATATTTGTAAAAAATCTTCTTCAGTTGATAAAATGAATGATAAAAATTTTTTTCCATATTATAAAAGCGGTACTTGCTCCTGGTGATTTTAAAGTAACCCTCACTTAATGCTATGAAAAGTGGAACTGAAATCCAGGGCACAAAATTTGTTAGCTAGCTAGGTCATTGTTAAGGGGTGCCAAGTGCCATGGTGTTGCACAAAGGGTTAATGATAAGACTAAGGCCATGCAAGGCCTGTTCCAAGTTATGTTTTTTTGCACATTTGTGAGATATGTCAGTATTTTAATTTTTCCAAGTGCCTTTTTATCATAGGTAAAATATAGAAGTTATACACTATATGAAAAAAGTGATTATATGAAAATATATTTTTTTTCCTGGCATCATGTTCTGTGGTTGAACATGCAGAATTTTAGAGTTGTAAAAGTCTCCAATTGGTACAACATAGCGGTGTTCTCCTGTTTTAGAGGAATTTTATTACGATATTGATAATAATGTCAATGAAAAGAAAAATGTTTAATAAAGTTGTATTTGATATAACTTGTGTATTCATGTCTGTTCCAGTAGAATTCAATTAACACATGATGTGAAATGTACATAGACACAATAATCAAGGAATCATCAAGGTAAATGTGATTCTGGCCCTTTAGACAGGTGCACGTACATGATGCTGCCATCACACTTTAATTGAATAAAAACAATCATATTACCCTGATTAACAGTCAACAAGTTGCAGTTTCCCTCACTATATTCAGCGTTTCAGCTACTTTATTTAAATCCACAGTAGCAGAAAACTGACACGAATAAAAGCATTTCTTTGTGGATTTTGATCATTGCAAACCATATAACATTTCACATATGACTAAAAAGAATGATAAGAGCATATTCTTATGACTATTTGTTGAGCTTCCCTGTCATTGCCCAAAAAGTGACACAAAGTCCAGGCTAAAGAAAAAGAGAAGGCTTTTATTGGGTTATAATTTACAGAGGATGGGGAGAGGAAAGACAGGGCGAGCATCTTTTTATACTTCATGTTTCCGTATTCTGCTGTGGCGTCGTCTTTTGTGTCTGAATGCTTAGTTCCTCGTCTAGACGCTCTTTAGCCCGCACCACCTGGACACAAACACAAACAAACAATAATAATGACTGAGAGAAAGGGAAGACACTTTCAAAATAACCACATTACACGATAGTTCAGTCAGGAATGAGTGGGAGTAACATCATCATTAAAAACACGAATCGGTTCAAAGAGTGGATTCCTCTCTCACACAGAGTCACATGAGACATAATTTGATATTTATCACAGACACAAGGGCAGAAAGAGAACCGATCATTGTTTGTTTGGATGAGAAACAAGTAAAAGTTACTGTGCCACAAAAAACATCTAATTCCTTTGGGTAAGGGTAAGGAAGATTCAAAGAGACTTAAACAGTTACATCGACAAACAGAATCACAGTGCCACGTTTAAGTAATTCAAACTGAACGGCATACTTGTACTAGTCAGACAGGTTACAGCATATATGATGGATCAATGTACTGAACAGTCTACTTGTGCCTTATTGTTTTTTCATGTTTTGAAAAATGGTTTTCTTGGAATCTGATAATTGGGGCAAAAAGTTAATTATTGTATTAGCCCCACACTGCCACCTGAGCGTCGTGGAAAATACTAAAGCCGTGTTTTTTTAGAAATACACAAGATAGCTTCATCTTCTTAGGAGACTCAACAGCATCAGAGGGAGTCAGTCGATTTTAGAAATAGTGAATAAAACTGTCACTTGAGTGTGCCAACATTCAACTTCATTTGACGGTTTGGTTACCTGGACTGCAGGTTCAGAAGTAAACAGTTGGCATGGGCTGCAAAATAATAGTGTAACCGCTGATGAAGCTAAGTCAGGACAACAGAAAGCCACGTTCATCCTGACTGACAGAGACTCAAAACTCTGTTAAGCACTAAAGAGTGCAATCACCATTTTAAACAATATAATATTATTAATATTACCATACAATATTCTATGTCTAAAAATTATTTGGTTGGATGGTTTTCCTGATACCACTATGTTCTTACGCTGTTTTTATATTTTGGCAAGCTAAAAACAACTGAAGTGGACAATAGAATCACGTTGTATTCTCTTCTAAATAATAAGTAACATGTTTCCTTATCTGAAACTCATCTTGTGACTGAATACAGCTAATTAACATGAAGTTAAATTAGTCACATCCTAATACTTACTTTTGATTGTAGATAAAATGAACCACCCACTGACTTGTCATTGACTTTAAAAAGGTGCTCATAGTTCTGAAAGAGATGAAACACTGTTAAGAGTACAAGTAACACATTTTATCTTCATTTAGAACATTTTTTTTCCCGCCAAGAAGAGCACCAAAGATACACACAGACAAGTTTCCTGATCATTATTACAGTAGAAGGCAAATAAAAATTTTGATATTATTAATGAATGGTCAAATAATCAAATCATTTCACATGAATGTATTATTGTGTGTTCATGATGTGATCTCAGAGCTGCAAGTCTTGGAAATGGACTTTTCAGCTCTGTTGCACAAAAGCAGTTTGATTAGCTGTCATTATGTAAAGACATGCCTAAGTGTAACAATATTTTACGACCACACCACCTTTTAAGACAAAAAAGGGGCGTGTTTCATCTCAAAACATCGGGAAAGGGGGAAATCTTTTTGAAGCAATCAACCAAGATGCTGGGGTATGCTCTGTCTCCCCTACTATTTCTGCCACAGTGAAAGAAAAATCCTCTAAACACTTTGTCCAACTACAACTAACAGCGAGTGTGTTTGTACCTTCTGAATCTCCTCAGGGGTGAGTGTGGAGACATTGAGGATTTGCTGCGCCTCTTGCAGGCTCATCCCGGTGATGCTAGAGGCTGCAGCAGACTGCTGACCTGTACGGCCCCTGGCCTGTGCTGCTGCTTGACTGGCTGAGAGAGAAAACAACACAACACACACGCACACAATTACTCACAACTTCTTTTTATTAGACAACCTAAAAGAATGTGAAGTGAGTTTTCATACTTCTTCTCCATCTAGAGCTAGCTGAGAAATATCCTAAGCATGTTACAATATTATTAAGAGCACATGGAATTTGGTCTGATGTAAAACACAACACCAGACACAGTTTATTACTTTGAACCACAGTTAAATCGTGTAACGTGATTTTACATACATTTACCATCATGATGTACAGAGATATTGGACAAAAAGCATCATCACCTAGACCTTGCAAATAAAAATTTTATATTGTCAACTAGTCTGTTTATCAAATATATACTATTGCAAATATTAGATTTGAAATTATATATCATACCTGCATATTCTTGCTTTAAAGCACGAGCAAAGGCACGTCCCACCACCTGCGCTCCCATCACTATGATCTGTGCCAGATACTTAGCCTGCACAGAGGAAAAGAAAAGCAACTTCAATTAAAATCATGACAAGCAACACGACTCATTTGACAATCACAGTCGTGGGACCCAAACGAGAGAGGATGTCAGCCAGTAACGTTAGTCTTCATTTTGGTAAGTGACACTACATGTTGAAGATAATTAACTTAACTTAGAGCTGACGTCAGACTCAGGCATAAAGTGTCTGCAGGTGCGGATGTAAGAAGCACCTTCATTACAGCTGTAAACACTGCGAGAGCATTACGGGCCGCTGTACTATTTGGACACGAATCGACCTTCCTCGTAAGTCTAATTAGCAATGTCCCTATGAAGAGGAGGTTGCCTTATGTAACGGTGTTGAAAAAGGAAACGAGCAGCAACACAACGTATCTTAATCATGCTAATGCTACCTAGCATTCCACCTCTCTGTCTCCTTATGTCAGTTATGAGTTTGGAAATACAAACACGACCATTATAAAGTGTTTTCTTACCATTTTATAATATTGTACAGCGTCCGGCTGTTGTCACGCATGTACACCAATGAAGGTTATTATAAGGGTCAAAGTTCAAGGAAGCATCAACAGCAACAAATGCAAGACGAAAAAGGTGGATATCGACATTTGTAATACTGACATCTACCGGCAGGGAAGTCAAACTGCAGCTTCTTTTTCAGGGCTCTGATTTCCATCCATCCATCGTCAATCGCTTATCCTGAGTACAGGGTCGCGGGGGGGCTCTGATTTAATACTTAAAATTGCCAGTAAGACGAGAAAACCCCCCCCCCTATTCATTTCATTTAAAGGCAGTAGGATAAGCAAATACATGCGGGTAACTATCCTGCAATACAGGATATTTTGAGTGTAATGTATTTCTCCACTGAAGACTGAAGTAGTATCATAAAACTGTGACTATTTCAGTGAACAGTGAACATGATTGATCATCCGTTCTTCTGATTGCTTCACTTCATTTTGAAAGTACCACCAAAACGACACTGGTATGAGACTTTATTAGTTTTAATTTGTCAAAGGTAATGCTTATTGATTTAAGTTCATCTGTTCTCCCTTGCCAGATGTTAAAAATTTACCCTATACTATAATAAGACAATGCATTTCACAAAAAAATTAACATATATACAACATTATGCACAATATTGTAAAGGACACATTCCATATAGTTGTCCATTATTACTGTTATTGATTATATTTAATTTACTGTCCATATTTAATTTATTTTATGCACTTCTTTTCTGTGCCCCTCATGAGCCCTTACAGTCTGCACCAAAGATGGAGACCAAAATGCAGTGGTTCTCAAACTTTTTCTGTCACAGCCCCTTGAGAAGCCGAACAACAACACGGGTGACTGAAAAAAACAAAAGATTCAGATTAGCAAAATACCCTTGCTTACACTTTTGTTTGTCACCACATAAACCATATTTATGCAACTTTAGGTCAAGCCCCCCACAGTGGCTCTATCCCGCCCCCCATTTTGAGAACCACCTTAATGTATCACAAAAGGACGAGCAGTAATGGGTTCAAAAAGGTGTTTATTGCAAGACAATACTGGAAAAAAAAAATCCACAAACCATCACTCAATTAAGACAGAAAAAAACAATTACAATGCTTGACTCGCTGTATAAAAAGGAAAATCTTTTTTTTAACGCAATGGAAGGCAAGTTAATCCAATCCAAACATTACAAAGTATGCCGTCCGAGAATCACAAGCACATACAGTATACATCACACGAACACCGACGACACCTGCAGTTCATGTGTACAACATAATGCGCACGACCATGCATGGCTGAGTGGATGGTTCATTTCAGTCCATCAGAGGTTGTAAACAAACTTGGTGGGTTCAAGCCCAGATTATTGAGGATATTGCTGAAGCCCTGATTGGAAATTACATGATGGCTGTTATGGCTGCATTGAAAAGTTATTAATACTGTACTCTTATTGTCTAAAGAACACCATGATTACTTACTAGAAAAAGAGCTTGTTAAAGTGAGGAATACCTTCAAACAGTCTGAAAACCAACACAGATCAGGATTAAAAGTTCAACTGCCTGGCAAACGAGAAAAGAAAGAAAGGAAACAATCATCTCAGAGTATACAAAGGCCCCTCTGGTTTGGCTTTCAATGCAAAACAACATCTCAGTTTCATTGACCTTTAACTTATAAGACTATTATATGACCACTGAATGGCAAAACATTCAATCAAATCTAACTTGTACAAATACAGTAACACATTATCGTGTTAAAATGGCATTTTATTCTATGATTGGCTAACAAAGAAAAGTGAACTTACTGTTGTTGTCATTAGAAATTCCAGCTCATGGTAAAACATGAACACTGGTGACCCTGTTGTACCCTCAGTGAGGTTTTTGCAGGAGGCTTGAGCATCTTACAATAATTATTTGTGTGTTTTACCTGACCAAACAGGAAGACAAAGGTTTTTAAAAATCGGATGCGTGATGTTCACTTGTTCAGTAAGATCATTAACAATATTTTTTGCAACATTACATCTTTGAAAGACACATTGTGACGGAGCGTGCTCATATGACTGGCTAGCAGAAGTGGTCCACTGTGGAGGTAAATGTGCACAAAGAGAACAACTGTGTTTGCAATGGTGTACAACCTGGTGTCTTGAAATCAGAAAATAACAAACTGGGCACAAGAGGCCATTATTATTATAATTATTATTTTTATCAGGACACTTCGGGTGTGTATTATCATGTTTAAACCATGGCCACATACCACAGACAAAATGAGATGCTATGCTAAAATAAAAGTTATTTTCAGTCAGTGTAACCTGTGGTTCAGTGTGTTGTAACCAGTAGTTAACTTTTAAGGTAACTAAAGCAGAGGCATTATTGCTATGACTGATGCTGTTTAATTTACCCTGCACCGACTTAAAATGTTTGAGGTGTCCCGATATATGATAAATATATTTTCTGATATTAACTGTTGTATCATATTGGTGGGATTTCCCCCCTGACATATCATGAACAGTGTGACATAATTGTTGCAGTCTACATTAACTGCTTGTCATAACAGAGCATTTACCATGTAAGATTCATCCCAGAATGATTGCTGAAATATTTAAGAATTACACCCAAAACTTATTTTCATATGAAATTTCATGCAGTCTGATATGATGAACACCAACTAGACAACATTGCATTTGATTTTCCAAACCTCAACAGATATTGTGATACATACTGATATCTTCCCAAATCGTTTATACTTTCACAGTATTGTACAGTATTCTTTTTGTGTGCAGTGGGGTGAGATGTTAGCTGATTGAGCTCAGAGGTTGTGTTGGTGGCACCATCGCACACACTGATGTCAGTGCTGTTTGACATTTGATCAGCTCTCTCCTCTTTGCTGTTGGCACCATGACTGAACCAAAGGATGATGTCCCCTCTAGTCATCCTGGACAACAGAACAGCAACAGTTAGCGAAGACGGATAATAGACATTTAATACATGCCATCAGTCCCTACTGCCTCAGTATTTGATATTAAGCTCTTTATTACATTTTAATAACTCAAGGTGCTAGAAGACCTTGAGTTGGGCGATAATTTGCTGTTATCATCTATCGGCTTTTAGTATTCTGATGACATTGTGTTTACAAAACTGTGTTGTTGCAATTATTGATTTACAACCTAATAAAATGAGGTGTGAGTTTTTGCTTTCCACTTTTGTTCAGTATATATTTGATTTTGCCAACATTAGTCATGTCATGATATGTACCGATATTATATGTAATATCACTTGTGTAAACAACACAGACAACAATTGAAATAAGTCCAAAATTTTGTAATTTTATCCCTGACAAAGTCTGATGTATTTTTGTATATATTATAATGTCATAAGTAAACCAAAAGTATAAAAAAAAGGGAATAATTGTAGGATATTAATTTTACCCTTTATTTTACCCTATTCTATAATCTCAAAATATCCATATTTGCAATAAAGATTCCTAAAGAAAACCAACTTCAACTACTATTTGGACATTTGAAATTAGAAATAAAGCAGATTAAATCCATCCCTTAGAGTATAATAACCTAAAAAAAAACATCCTCAAAAAATAGGAGTTCAATCAACACATTCTTGAGCAAAACTGAATATTATGAAAATCACTTAAGCAGTTTTTTCTGCAAAGATTTTTGCATATTTTGAGAGTCGAGACTCATCTTCACAGCCTTCTCCATCTCATTCACTCACCCATTCCTCCTCGTCGACCCCCTCGAAGGACTCCTGTGGCAGCGGGTCGTCCATGTTCCCCAACTTAGCTACCATGGCACTAAGCAGCTGGGCCACACATATTCAGTGTTACAGCGTAACAGAAAAACACAACTTTTATTCAGCGACTACTACATGCACATAAGGAATTTGACGTGGATAATATGCATGATGGATGACTGACATAAGAGATGCAGGGCAAACTATGGAAAGACCTCACAGTGGTCCAGATAAGACATACTGCGTGGTACCGCTTGTACAGTACACACAAGTGTACAGCATTTCAGCTCCTCCTCACCTCATCTTTCTTCTGTTCATCGGTCTTCTCCTCCAGGTAAACAGATGAGGGCAGGTATTTCCTAACTGGAGCCTCTTTGGGGGCCTCACTCACTGAAATAAGAAAGACACAGAGTGAAAAACAGACACATACCAGGACACGTCCAGTACTGACATGTACATTCCAGAGCTATGTTACGCAAGGTGACATGGTATGTATACATATACAGACTCTCTGGTCTGTGTCCGCACCTGGCGTCATGTCTTTAGGCTTTAGGCTGATCTTTTTGTGTTGGCCATTGGAGCCAGACAGCCAAGCAGAGGCAGTCAGTGCCGGTTCCCAATGGACCGCTGTGTCTACGTACACGTCGTCCTGGAAAAACTCTTTCTGGAAACCCAGAGAACACAGAGTTATACCTTCTATAATTAAAAGCTATAGCCATTTTTTTAGAAATAATCACCAGGAAGGAAGGTATGCAGTATCCCCATGTGTCCACTAGGTGGTGTAGTTGGCTCACCTTGACCCGTGGCACTCTGAAGGCCACTGGCTCTATGCTTGTCTTGGTGAGCATCAGTCCTACAGCTATCTCCACATCACGCACGTTGCACTCTGTCTTGGGCAGAAAGGCCAAGCCCTTCAGACAGGAAAGAATTCGGTGGAATCAGAGTTTAGCGAATAAATACAAAATAAATGCACACATATTGTACAGAGTATTGTAGGAGAGAATTCAGCTCAGTACCTTATGCGGCTCAGGAGAGTTAAAACTGCTGCACTCAATAAAATAGGGATCTTCAGGGACAATCTCATAAATGTGCACTCTGGTATCACCCTGGTAAACAAGTGAAACACATTACATTATACATACATTCAATTCTTATTTTGATCTTAGTTTTGGTTCAAAAGTAATTTATGTGCAACTAATATTTGCTTACTTTTCCAGTAAGGATGACCACGCTGGTGTCGGGGTCATAAAAAGGGATGAGTGTAGAGGGAGAGACGTCTACAAGATTGCTGGCTCTGGCTCCAGAGAACAGGCAGTCAACTGAGTACATGTAGAGTCCTCTCTCACTGCGACTGCAGAAGGACAACAAGAAGTCAGTGGTAAACCTTTCTTTTGACTGACCCACTGCTGCTCTGACAACACTGAATTAGGATGCCTTTAAATTCAGGAGGGGCTTTATCTGTACTGTTTTCAGTGGAAATAAAATAGCAGATTGCTTTCCTGCAGGATTGCTCACACACACACACACACACATATATTTATTTATTTTGCCTTCCATATGACACTTAAACAACAAAAAAACCCATGTTAAGTACCTGTCAAATCCTGAAACCAACAGGTACTTGCCCTCACACACCCACACCACACGAGCTCCCCTGTGGCCCTCAGGACCTGGGCCTTCCTGAAAAAGAAAAAAACTAAATTTTAAAACTAAATATAATAAACATTAATGTATTAAAGTATCTGTTTCACCATTTTCACAATACACACCTAAAAACAAATCTCTTTTTTTTAAAATAAATTGTATCCACACATATTCTCCAATAGGTTATTCATACCTGCACTGGTGCAGTGGACTTGCGGGGGTCATAGATGCGAACTTTGCCATCTTTGCACACTGTGGCCAGGAGCTTGCCATCAGGGCTCCATGCCATGCAAAAGACCTGAATATGACCCACAAGAGGAAACAAGAAAGATGATGAAGAAGAAGAAGAACAGCCAAATAGCTGTGCAAACATTCAATATCTCGGATGTTTTACTTAATTAGTCTTGTCATCTAAGATTTGACCAAAGTGTGGATCTTGGTCACCCACCTGGTCCTGGTGTCCAGTGAGGAGTTTGACCTGCTCTCCAGTCTCCAGGTTCCACAGTCTGACAGTGAGATCGTAGGATGAAGACACCAGGAGTCCGCTGGCCAAAGGGTGGAACCTGATGGAGTAAATCTTCTCAGTGTGGCCTGCAAGGGGGCAAAGCAGCTGTCTATCAACTTGACTTTGTTGTGACTATCATTACCTTCTTCCTTCTTATACAGGAAAAAATTCACATGGATGCACTGTAATCAGTCAACCTCTGTTGTGTCAGTTGTTATAGTGTAGATATTTTAACTACCATAGGTCAGGCTTGTCAATAAAACACTATCAAAACTAAAATGAGGCAATTTCAATAATTTATTTCAATTAGTGGGCCCTGTCTTACCTTGCAAGATCAGCTCAGGCTCAGTCAGGGTCTCTTTCAGCCCTCCCTCTGGTACTTGCCACACCCGGATCTTTGCATCATCACCAGCTAACACGGACAGAGAGATGCATGTCAAATCACACTCACAGGACAGTGAGCAGTCAATACCACATACACATGCAGAGGCTCACACCTATCCAGTACCAGTATTCACTTACCCACAGCAAGCCTGTGTGTGTCAAAGGGGTCCCAGGAGAAGTCGACCACATTTACAGAGTTCTGGATGGTGGGCAGGGCTGTGTCTGGCAGTCTGCCAGGCTGAGAGCGCTGAAGAGAGGAGAGGAATAAAATCAGTCACTCACACAAATCCGGTACACAGTGGTTAAATTATTCATAAGTAATTGAAATACAAGAGAAAGAAGAGACGCACATGAAGACCAACCACAGTTTTTACAAATCATTATGCCATAAACTGTTTTTAATTTAATTTCCAGACTCTGCCGTACCTCAAAGATAGCCATCTGGCCCCCGGAGATAGCGAGAGGCACTGCAACACGCTGGGGGTTGACACAGAAGCCGTCAGACTCGCCTGGTGTGGTCAGGTTGAGGCCACGCAGATTGGTGATGTGCGTGTCCCGGTGCATCACTGCACCCTGGATGTGACGGAACTTGGAGGTTGGACCTGGATCAGAGATAATTTTAAATTAACAGTCACTAAAGAAACATTGTTATTAATATGGAGATACAGACACTACAATGAAGGCTAAGATAAGAGATTTCAGGTGTGTCTGTATTTATACCCAGCAGGCTCTGGATGGTTTTGGCGCTCTGGCTGGGACTGGGGCTCGGGAGGAAGCCAGATGAGAGGCCGGAGGTGGAGGAAGGAGAGCGGGACGGGGCAGCGCTGCTGCTCGGAGTGCTCAGAGGACTGCTGGAGGTGGAGCAGCCACGTGCTGGATCCTGTAGAACAGTAAATAAAGTTTTTACAACCCCCAATTTGGACTTGAATTCACCGTGAGAATCTACTAATACCATTATTCGTGGTGTATAGTCAGTGTGTGTCTCTCACCTCCTTGCTCCCCCCACTGGCCTGCTCCTTTTTTGCAGGCGTCTGTTTTGCAGGTGGTGCCTTTGCTTTGGGCCTTTTGTCTGGGTGGAGGCTGATTTTCTCCACCTGTGGATAAACAACAGCTAATTGTTTTAGGCATCTGTACAGTGTGACGACCGGATAAACTTGTTGAGAGCTGAGATCCTCTTACCTGCTTGTTCCCTCCCTGCCACCACTCCTCGGCAGACATGGCCGGAGTCGTGCCCGCTGTATCTGGGTAAAGATCTTCATGAAACTCCTGGCCTGAATTCTGGAAGACAGTGCAGCACACACAAATACGCATGCATGAAAACACCAATCAAACATGTGCATTAATTGCATACGTTACGAATCTGCTGTGCGTGCCGGCACGTCAGTAGTGCTGTACGTATGCACACCTTGCGAGGGACTTGATAGCTGATTGGCACAATGCAGCTGTCTGTCAGCTGAAGCAAACGCATCACTTCGCAGGACGTGATATCCAATGCCAGTTTGGGAACCATGGCAACTCCTCTTGTTGAGGTGTCCGTCAGGCAGTGGCTCACTACAGATATAAAATGCAGAGGGGAAAAAAGAAAGAGAGGGATTAGATGTTAGCTGTAATAATATGACCACACAGATAACAGATGACCAAGCTTTACCTTGTGAAAGGAAAGGCTCAGAGGCAGACACTTCAAAGCAGTCAACCACAGTGTCTCCCTGTGCAAGAGAGAAACATCATTACATTTTATTAGCAGCACGCCTTCAAGCCAAAGCTATGAAGTGACAGAATGCATAATACAGGGACATTCATCTGCATCTTACCATGCCAGCCAGTGTGAGCAGACCAGTGTCATCATCAAACAGAGGGATCAGCATCCTTCAAGCAAAGAGACAAGAGGGGGAAAAGAATGAGAATGAGACACTCAAATTGTGCTCAGCATAAAACAGCACACTCATGTCCCAGACCTATTTTTACAGAATCATTTAAATGTGTCACAGGGTCTAAGGTTTGACGTTTTACAAAGGTGCCGCTAGATGGAGCATTATGCTCAATCTTTGGGAAAACGTGGTACTGCATTGTCAGGTCAGAGCAGACCAGCTGTGCTGCAATATTTTACACTGATCTTTATCTGCAGATTAGGGAAACGGTCGAGGGAGAAAAAAAACTTTGTTGAATATGTGAGTCAGAGTGAGTCACATTCACTGATCTCTCTGTTCCTTGGAGTTTTGAACTAAAGACAAAACTAAAACGATCCTCAAAGACAAAAATTGCACAAAGGAGAAAAAACATGTTGTCAAATGGAGAAAACTTTATAAAAATTTTTGTCTAACGTCTTCAAATGTAGTTTAGCTCGACAAAAGAGCCCAAAGAAATTAAGATTACGAGCGCACTGACAAAGAAAAACAGCAAGTCTTGTTGCAACTAAAGAATGTGTGGTATCATTGGCTTAAGATATAATAATAACAACAACAACAAAAATAGCTACTGAGGAACTGTTCCTGCTCTACCTCGTATTTCTACCCACGCAGACCTAAAGCAGGCCACAGTCACCTGCTTCCTCTCACTATTTAAGGTAAGAAGATTGAGGGATGAGGAAACCGAAGGAGCTTTTAGCTCAATGGGGAAAGTACAACTGGCCGTAGTAACAAACCAAACAGGAAATCGTGGCTTAGACAAGAGGCATACTTGCACAAACACAGGCAAGGCTGACAACTAACTCTGCCTCTTACTCTCCTTCATACTGTAATCAAACAGCCTCTCTCTCTTCATCAATGAGAGCAACAGTCAGCACGTTGTTTTCCAGACAGTAAAAGAGGACAGAGAGTGGTGGCTGTTCTAAACATTTAAAATCACAGGCCACAGATAGGCTCATTGAAGTTGAGAGGCAGTTCCAGTGATTGGCTTATAATCATGACCTTGTGTAATGGTACTATTCTAGAGGACCGCCACCCGGCTGCCTCCACATCAACTGAGGATGACAGACTAGTGATGTAATGCTCCAAGTACGACAATATAATGACAGACTTAGTTTGGGTATCTTAAGCAACTGTGCACAGTGACACGCAATGGTTTGTGCTGTGTACATGCGTAAGAGTGACAGAGGATGAGAGTAGTAGTAGTAGTGTATCTGTATGAATTTGAAACAGAGAAAGAGATTTTTACATTCTGACACACAAACCTCCACACGAGTCCAGGATCACTCGGTCACTAAAAACTGTCTGTAGTGGCATTGGCTTGTGTGGCATTTGGTAAACTACCTTGCGAAGAGGAAATTGTCTAGAAAGATGAAATATTACTTTGTATATGTGGGTTTTTTTTAAATTGTGTTCTTTTTTCTTTCCTTTTGGGAAAGATTATGTATTAAGATAAACTTCAGTGATCCTATAAAGGGAAACAAGTACATAGTGGATACAATACAGTCTTTGTTACTACTCAAAGTGCTTTAGACTCCATCACATTCACCCATTCACACACATTTATACATTGAGACTGAGGTTGCAATTGCCCATCAGAAAAGAAATAACAATCTTTCACATATACACCAATGGCAAACAGGAGGAATTCGGGGTTCAGTGTCTTGCCAAGGACACTTAAAGACACAGACTGAGGGAGCTGGGCCTGTCCCTAATCCTGTACCTCCTCTTCTCTTCAACATCCCTCTCTCCCTCGCTCTACTGCAGCCCCATGAAGTCAGCGAGGGTCAGCCACGCTTGGTTAGGGCGACTGTGTGTTCCCATGTCAGAGTCACTCCACAGGGAGTCCCTAAACACCTCCATTCCCACACCCCTTAGTCTTCCTCTTCCGCACTCACTCTTTCCTATTCAGCAACACTACCACCTTGCACACCCCCTGTGATCTCTTTGTCCAATACCAACTATTTCTCCAAATTGCCTTAACTTTCTCTGCGGCCTTATCTCTGGTTTTCTCACAGTAAACCAGTCAAACAGCCACATAATAGAGTGAAGCTTTATCCCTGATAATGGTCTCTGTTTACCATCGCTTTCATGCTCCACCTCACCACCAGCCCATTTTCCCACACAGGACAGGAAAACACACACATGCATGCATGCATGTGTGTGTTTACGTACACAGACACACAAGCACACATGCATGCATGTGCTAAAAGTACAGCTTAATGACGTATGTGCACAAGCATTAATAAGAGCGTGCAGTTACAGTCATGCAGGGTTAATTGTGGGAGCGAGCGGGCTTATTGTGCAGATCTCGATCACATGGGCTGATTATGAATGAAAAAAATTATTACAGGCCTCATTCATGCTCTTAGAGGAGAGGCGGTAAATAGAAGTGCGTGTGTGTGTACCGAATCCAGCTTGACACTGTAATCCAGACATAAACTGTTTTCAGTGTTAGGTGTGTGACAAAAACAGGTATAACCACACACACACACACATACACACACACACACACACACTAATTAGTCTTCAAGTTATATGTTATATAACTGTATGTTATTTTCTGGGAAAGGGGAAAGACATCCTCGATATCAGCTGTATAATGTCAACAACAGCTGAGAAGACTCCTCTTTGAAAGATTTTACTTTACAAAAAGACTCTCTCAGGGCTATCTGCACCCACTAATGTCTCAACACCTTTCCAGCTCTTCCAACACTCTGCGATCGGCCTCCAGATGCTCCAAAAGATCACCCTAGCTTCAGTCTGTCATTGGCACTCTGATCCTATCAGAGTTTACACAAAACAAGGTGAGCAGAGCGAGAGAACCCGCCTCCTGCCTCGTCTGCCATCGCCTCACTCTGCTCTCTCATACAGACCCAAACGCACATCATAAAATGACTTTCTGCCCATGACAGCAGCCATCAGCACCAGCAGATATGATGGGTATATTACTCTACTCTAACGTGCATCTGTGTTTGTGTGTGTATGAAAGGGTCTGAGTCAGCCCAGGTATATTATGATTATGAGAATGTGTTGTCGTTTGATAATGTAGAAGATAGTGTAATTTGCAGGAATAACAGACTAATGGAGGGTCAGACAAATGGATATGCGGATGACAGACAAATGCAGGAATAATGTGTGTGTTTGTGTGTGTGTGTTTGAAGTAGAACTGCAGCTGGGGTTGTGGTGGAGTTCAACTGAGCAAAAATCCAGTCCAGTCGTCGGGAAACAGGTATTAAATTTAACAGGGTAATAAATTTATCGATGCACATAAACACACATTCAGGTGCAGGGATAAGTACTGCATTATTTAAAAAAAAAAAAAAAAAAAAAAAAGATGCTGTGCATGTGCGCGCTTACAATCATCACAAGACATGCGAAAGTATAAAACACATTCACACACACACTGTATGCTTATTTGAGGACATACAGGCACATCCAGATGCATTGATAGCATCAGACACGCACAGTGGTGTACTATATACAGTACCACACATAGGTGAAGCTAATGAAAGTAGCCTGCAGAGGTATAAGGTTATGGGAGTATAGCAGTCAAAGGGACCTTCCTCTGTTGTATGAGATCACGGCCTTTAGCTAGGCCAGTCTTGCTGCTAAAAACACACACTAGAGAGCACACAATAAGCTTGAGTCGGCAGTTCGGAGGAGTAGGCCAGAAAGTAGAGAAGCGAGAGGAGGCCTTTGATGAATATGAAACCAAAACAAAGCAGCTGGTTGTCTACTTATCAAACTTCGAGTTTATTTTTGGCTTACACAAGATCACTCCATCGCTCTTCTAAGATGGGAACGCGCAAGAAGACTAAAGCCTAGTTCACACTAGGATCTAGAAAAATGGCAGATTACAGTCTGCAATTAACATCTTCATCCTGAAAGTTAAATACTGACATTTCTGTCTTCTCTCTCTGATTAGTCTTTTTTAGCTGTTCCTGGGGTATCTCATTTTTTCCACCCTCATATAAGTATTTTTTCATCTGAACTGAGGATCTAATTATAAAGGATGTCGTATATTTTACACAAGGTAAAGTCCTCAAAGGCAAATTTGTGATTTCAGGCCATATAAATAAAACTGACTTGACAATCGTGGTTCAGATTTGACCGGATTCCAGTAGAACAAACAAACAAAATCACAACCATTCTAACATGTTTTAACTGCAAACTGAAGGTGAGAGATTTGAGTCATAAATCTCAGCAGTGGAAACTCGCCACAGTACTGGAAACCAGTCTTCATCGTCAAATAAGGGTCATAATCAGGCTTATCTTGTGTGGTGAGACCTCAACTTAATTTACTGTTACTCTATTTTCATTTCATCCTTTTCCTCTCCGTCATCCACTCCTCCCCTCTTCTTTATCAGTCCTCTGGTTATGTCATCCTAGTCAGTGGGAGTGACCGAGTGGTGCAGTGAGGGTGAAAGGTCTGCTGAACTGTGAACTCGAAAAGTCCACTTTATCAGCCCTCCTGCCTCCGAAGACTGCAGGCCTGCAGCTTGTCCAGCTGCCGGGCTGGCCTCTACTGTCCCACTCAGTGTTTTGGACTGAAACCAGAGCCGCCTAGGCCATATTATAATGTTTGGATTATCACACAGGGTCACAAGGACACTTGGGATGGGTCACAGCAAGCGCAGTGGACGTGCTATTGGGTACTCCGAGTCATTGATTTTAAAGTGTGAGAGTGCACATTGGTTATCCCAGTCATCCTGATAAATGTTAGATCAAAACTTTTCCAGCACTTATCTGGACATCAAAGTCAATGAAAGCTTGAGGCCAAGTCCAGCGAAATAATTGATTAAAAACTGTAACACAAATATTCATTACCAAGTTTTTCTTGGAATCTAAAATGTTGACAGAGAGACACCCAGAAATGTGAATACATTTTGTTGCTATATTTATTACCAGTTTTTTAAAATTAAAAAGACTCCGTGTCACTGTCCTTAGGTGCTAAATGAA